TCAGACATCGTTCGGGTTCCTCGAACAAGGTGGCCGATGCCCTTAGCCGCCGTTCTTTATTGCTGTCGGAGATGCGTGTGGCTGTGGTTAGTTTTGAGCTGCTTCGTGAGGCTTATTCCGGCGATATTTTTTTTGGGTCCGTTGTACGTCGTTTGGAGAGTGCCCAGTTGATGACTATTCGTTGACTGACGGTTTTTTATTTCGAGGCCTTCGTCTTTGTGTACCGGACTGTAGTATACGGCTACTGCTTATTGGCGAACTCCATGGCGCGGGACATGTTGGGCGTGACCGTTCGATTGAGTTGGTGCGCCATTCGTATTTTTGGCCGACTCTTCAGCGTGATGTTGCTCGCTTTGTGAGTCGTTGTCGCGTGTGCCAAGTTTCCAAGGGGGTCGCCTCTAATGCCGGTCTTTATCGTTCTCTTCCGATCCCGTCTCACCCGTGGCTTGTGATTAGCATGGATTTTGTGTTAGGCTTGCCACGCACTCAGCGTGGGTTCGACTCCATTTTTGTGGTGGTCGATCGTTTCTCGAAGATGGTGCACTTCATTCCGTGCAAACGTACCACTGACGCGGTTCACGTGGCGCAACTTTTTTTTCGCGAGATCTACCGTCTGCATGGCCTTCCTTCTTCCATTGTCTCGGATCGAGATACTCGGTTTGTGAGTCACTTCTAGCGTAGCCTGTGGTGCATGGCCAATACCCGGCTTGATTTTAGCAGCGCTTATCATCCTCAGACGGATAGGCAGACTGAGGTTGTGAATCGTTCGTTGGAGAACTTACTTCGGTGTTTGGTGGGAGACAACCTGCGGTGTTGGGACCAGCGGCCCAGTCAGGACGAATTCGCACATAATTCGGCTGTTAGCAGGTCCACCGGGTTTTCTCCTTTCCAGATCGTTTATAGGTTGCGGCCTCGTGGTCCTCCGGATTTGTTGTCCTTGCCGTCCCGGGCTTCAGTGGATAGGCGCGCGGTGGATGTGATAGCCGACCTCCAGGCGGGGCATGCAGCGGCCCGGGCCCGTCTCGAGGAGGCGACGACCGCCTACAAGAGGCAGGCCGACGTGCGTCGTCGGCATGTGGAGTTCGCGGTTGGCGATTTTGTATGGGCGGTGTTGACTAAGGATCGGTTCTCGGCCCATGAGTACAATAAATTGTCAACCTGGAAGATTGGCCCAGTCGAGGTCCTTGAGAAGATCAATCCGAATGCTTACCGTCTCCGTCTCCCGTCTCATATTCGCACTTCTGACGTTTTTAACATCAAACATTTGGTTCCCTTCACTGGCGATAATTCTGATGGAGATGAGCCGATGCGGATTCGAGGGCGAATCCTTCCCAACAGGGGGGAATGATGGAGATGAAGCCGCGATGGCGTTCCTGGATAAGTTCGACCGACTTAGTATTTAGTATTTATTTGCTTTGACATTCTTATTTATTTCCTATTTATGCATTTAGTTATTTTCTCTCTTATTTATTTAGGATGGGTTGGAAAATAATTAATTATGTTGCTTAACAGGATAATTAGTAGGGGTTAGGAGTCTATATATTGTACTTCGTTGGAGGAGTAAAACGTTTTTTGCGACTGAAATAAAAATCTCTCTTGAGTTCTTGGAGTTCTTGTATCCCTTTTGTCTACCACGTACTGCATCACATTGTCAACTGCATGCTGAATCCGAATATATTTCAGCTGAAAGTTGTTGTTCTCAGCTCACGTGGATGAAACAGATGATGCTTGAATTTGGGTTTGAGGTAAAAACCATGAACCTTTTATGTGATAATACAAGTGAAATAAATATCTCTAAAAATTCGGTTCAGCACTCTCGAACTAAACACATAGATATTCGTTATCACTTTATTAGAAATCTGGTTGAGGATGAAGTGATTATTTTTGAGTATGTTCCAACACTAAACCAGTTGGCTGATATATTCACCAAAACATTAGATGACCAAAGGTTCATCTCTCTAAGGAAATCTTTAAGGATGTAAACAATGTGATTGCTTGTGAGAATTTGCATCATATTATATTGTATGGTATATTACTAAATATGGCTACTAGCATTGTGTTTAAGCGTTTACAAATACAACATCCACATTTTAATTTAATTACAGTGAGATTCATGTAATTTAATTTAAATATTTAAATATTAGTTTCATGCTTTGGATTCATTACGTATGCGTCTAGCTAGATTATTTGAAATGAGTACCTTGTTTTAAAACTCGTTCTCACTTGATCAACAAGCTGACGTGACTCAGTTCGTTTAGGTATGTATGATCAAGGACGGAGCTACATGGGGCCCGGGGGGGGCCCTGGACCCTCCTCAATTTATTTTAAAAATCAATATATATATATATATATATATATTATATTTATATATATAGTATATATTATCTATATCTATATTTATATATATAAAGAAAAAATTATACAATATGTATAGATATATAAAAAATATGTACAACATATTAATAATTAAAATTATATTTTTCTATGCTATTTTAATTTAAATTAATAGTATTATTTATTTATTGAAAAATGTACTAACAACCCTTATATTTTACATTTCTAGATAAATTTTTGAAAATGTTTATAATGTTTTACTCTTTTGGTCTCTTAATTGTAAATAGATTTAGTGAATTATAAAAACGACGATTTAATTTGATAGTTATATTTTTTAATGTTGATTTTTTTGTTTTTGTTTTGTGTAATCACATATTTTTAACTTCATTGTATTTCTTAAAAAAATGTTCGTTTGATAAGCTTTCGTCAACAAAAATGCTATGCAATATGCTACAAAAGTTCAATTTATATCAATTTTTTTTAACCAAAAATACTTATTTTTTTCATAAATTATAATTGTTGAACTTAAATTATAAATACATGAATTTTTTTTTTTTTTAAGTTTGAGGGTGATATAGATTCTAAGTTTTTAAAAACTTGATGATGCACTATCTAAACTTCTTAATAAGCTTTTGACTTTTAAAATTCGCGAGAGGTTTATAACTGCACCACTTCACGTGTGTTTGATAGAAATAGATTTTTCATTTAAATAATTACCAGTTTGAATTTCTGCATGTTGACAATTGAAAAAGGACTTAGCCTTTTTGTTCTTTCGTTCACAATTTCCACAATGCCAACCTTACTTTTTTTTGTAAAGAAAAAGAAAAAATAAAATTCTCACTTTTTGATAAATTAACGCGTTTTGCAAGTTTGGCAAATTTAGAATTAGCACGTTTGGCGATTTTGCTTTCATATACTGTCTACTCAAAGTACATGAGTGGGGCACCCAACATAGAAATTTATGATACAAATGCAATTTTACAAGAATTTCTGTAAATAATTACCTAATTTTTTATTTTTTTTTTACAAATCATGGATGATATCGTTTGAAAAAAAAAATAAAAAATCATAGATGATATACTCATGTAAAACCGCTTATCTATAATTGAAATACATACACTATCATGTAACAATCATGGATGATATACTCATGTAACACCGCTTATTTTTTTTTACATTAAGACATCATTTGTTATTTTTGAAAAAATACATTAGGTGCTTATTTGTGTTACATTTTATTTCGTTCATGCAATGATATATTTTGTAAATTAATTAATTTATTTTATTAACTCTAATCGACAAAAAACATTCACCACCATGTGATTCGCACTTGCACCTTACTAGTCTTTCGAAAAGGCGAAACACACTTTTGAAACTAAAACCCCAGTAATATAAAACCATTTCATAAGCTAACTATGATATAAAATATAGAATTGATCGGGAGCCGACACTAACCAGCTCGGGTAATTTATCTTTCATATAGCTCGATTTAGTCGATCTTTCTCACAAGTCAGGTAGACCCGCCTCTATCACACGTCAGTTGACAAGATCTAATAGCTCAGGAGATGGGATGATCTCTTCGCAGCTAGGACATTATGAGGACCTCTTGGTAGCTCAAACATGATGATCTCTTGGTAGCTCGGACATGATGAGGACCTCTTGGAAGCTAGGACATTATGATGAACTAAGAAGTGTATATGAGGGACCTACAAACAATATATATGATTAACTTGACTGTATATCTGATGGACCTGCGGACAATTTAACATATGAGGTCCTATGAACTGATTGTACATGAACACTTGTGGATGATATAAGTTCGGGCGACCTACATAAGTAAATTAGGGGCTTAGGGGATAACACATCGTAGGGGTGACGTGGAGGGTTATTAAAGACGAATCTAGATCATCTTAGAGATAATGATGAGTCTCGGACAAACCTTGGGGGCAGTGAGATAATTGTCGGGCAGCCAGAGCATTCGAGCAGTCTGATCGGGCAACTGGGTAACCTAGACAGTAAAATTGGGAAGACCTTCGGCAACAAGTAAGGATTTACTATATGTAGATCCCAAGTATGAAAGGGTAATGAGTTACACTTTCTAAGCTTTACAATATACTTATTCTGTATACTCTTTCATATTTTGAGAGCTGACTTAATTTTCAGAGGTCTACCTTCGAGAAGACTCCCAGCATGTTTTGCAGGTTACTTCCGGAGATCAAACTGATTCGAGGTAAAAGGAAGAGCGATTCGTGAAGGAATTGCTCATCAGACTAAATTATACTACACCAAAACATGCCACGTTCTTATTATTCGATACACCTTATTAAACAACAACCTAAGAGCATCTCTAATGGCATACTGTCTATTTTGAGATGTACAACATAGAGAAAGAATTAAAAAGAATATATTTAATGTTTAATGTTAATTGTAATATAATTTTACACGTGTAAGATTGTAGTTGGTTGGAGAATGGAGAAATATTGAAGAAATAATATAATATGCAATTGAAGATGTTTAAAAATACATCTACACATAAATTTTTAATGCCACATACGGTTTATTGGGCTATATGTCAATAAATAGAGCATTACATAAACCATGCTCTAATTAAAATGCGTAAAATAAAGGACGACTGATCCATCTTATTGAATCCAAATATTAACCTAAGCACGCGGTACATACGTGCTAAAATGCCTCGACACAACCCGTGAATCAAGACGACTAACCATTTCCTTATCTCTCACACATCTGGGCACCTTGTACTGACTAACCGAAGCACCCCTCGAGATCGCACACTCCATCATCTCCTCAAACGTCCCCTTTTTCACGACCCTTAGTTCCAAGGGCCCGATCGAGCTCTCCCTCAACATTCTGTACACAGAGTTGAACGACTCCTCCATCACTAGGCAACACTGTTCGAGAACCTCATCACTCGGCACCCCACCCGAGTCCTTTGCCAGCAACTCCCAGTACACGACATAGTGTCCCGGGACAGACGCCGTGTCCGTACGGCTCGTGTAGTCGAGCAGTCTTGCATCAGACTGCAGTAACAACTGGGAAGCATTTCCCACTGCCGCCTGCAGCTCGGTTTCCTTTGTCTTTTCCCAGTCAATATTTAGCACCACGTCTTTCCGCCTCACGAACCGAAACTGTGGGGCCGAGTTGTAGAACCCGGTGACCCGCACGATGTCCCCGAGTCGGTATCGGTAGAGCCCGGCAGGTGTGGTAAGTAACACCTCGTACTCCCTGCCGATTTGGACGTTGACTAGGTCAACCGGCTCTGATTGGTCGTGGGGCATGAACTCGAAATAAGCTAGGAAAGGCATGAAAGTGTAGGAGACCTCGGACGGCTTGCAAATGGGGTCGAGGTTTATCCCAAGGAAGGATTCGGATGACGCGTACACCGTGGACACTATAGGGAGTCCTCCGCTGTAGTAGTCGAGGGTTGAAAACAAAAGTATAAAAAGAAGATAAGAAATGAAAATGATATGTTGCTGTATGTGATTTCTGATAATTTTTATTGATTCAATACAAAGCAAATGTACATGCATATATAGCACAGCAAGTAGCTATACTAGGAAATATTCTGTATCAATTACAATCAACTTAAATGATATGTAATCCCTGATTTTCTTCATTTCCTGCAATTAACAAATCTTCCCATAATACTCCCCCTCAAATTGGTGTGTGTATGTCATGAACACTCAATTTGTTGAGAATTGGCTGAAAATTGGATGAACTGAGTGGCTTAGTAAACAAATCAGCAAGTTGTCCCTTTGAAGGAACGTAAGCAGTCTCTATGTCTCCTGATTGAATTTTTTCTCGAACAACATGACAATCTATCTCTATATGCTTTGTCCGTTCATGGTAAACCGGATTAGCCGCAATATGTAACGCCGCTTGACTATCACAAAATAGTTTCGCTGGTCGTGGGTGTTCTACTCGCAAGTCACTCAACAAGTATCTTAGCCATGTGAGCTCACATGTAATTGAAGCCATTGCTCGATATTCGGATTCTGCTGAAGACCTTGACACAGTCGTTTGTTTCTTTGTTTTCCATGAAATGAGAGCTCCTCCAAGAAAGATGCAATACCCAGTTACCGATCGTCTTGAGATTGGACAACGAGCCCAATCAGAATCACAGAATCCTGTTAATAGAAAATTCGCCTTGGCTGGAAAAAATAGTCCTCTCCCAGGTGCACCTTTAAGGTACCGTAAAAGATGATGGACAGCATCTAAATGAGGTTTCCTTGGTTCTTGCATAAATTGGCTTAAAACATGAACAGAATAGCTAATTTCCGGTTTAGTAATTGTGAGATAAATAAGTTTACCAACCAATCTTCTATAAATT